TCACTTTACTAGTAAGAAGTAATAGTTCCCTAGCCGTAAAACAGTTAAATTATTTATAAACTTTTCAATTTATGTGTTTATGAGTCCCAGTGTTGGGATTAACTGTGGTTCAATTTCTACTTAATGTTCTGGTGATTACTGAAAAACTTAACCTAATTACTAGTATAGAGAGAACACAAACACTTTATGTTTGGATGTGTATACTGCATGGTGTATTATCTTATATATATATATGGGGCAAAGAAGTAATTCCAACAGTGTGGACAAGTTTAGGTTGTAAAATTTTCGGAGCGATCCGCTCCTTTTCAAGACACAGTGAAACAGAACAGTTACATGTACATATACATCATATTACAAGAAGATAGAATTGATATACTATAATTGAAAATATAGCTATTATATAAAACCAATAGTCCCCTCGGCTAAAGACAGCCGAATGCAGCTATTACACTGAGAGCATCGCGGACAAGGAACGCTGATGTAGAAGACCTATTCTTGCGCAAGATGCACTGTCATATAAAGTGAGTCAACGACAGATATCAAAAACGTGGAACATGTGCATTTGGAAATCTGGCCCGGTAAATGTGAAAAATCTCCAATCTGCTACGGTACGCTAGTCGCCTATCAATACTGCGATGGATCTAAGTCACAGCAGGGGTCCCACTTAGTCGCCTCTTTTGGTTTGCAGTAACAATGCATGTGCTTCTATTGGTTTGCAGGAATTATGCATGTAATTATCAAATAAATGAGTGCAGGAGGAATAAGTAGATAAAATGGCTAAGATACTGTATAAATCTGCAAAATAAATCTGACAACGGCTGTTGGTCACACACACTGACATGAAGCAGCAGGCATGCGAGATAGCAGACCAACTGTGCAGTAATGAATCATTAGGTCAAATGCCCCCTTGAAGGAAAATGAGCGGATGGCAACCGCCTATCGTTCGTTCATACCTCGAGGGTAGCGGGTTTGTAGATTGGTGAGCCAAAACCGTTCTCTCGTACGTCGTCTCGTTTCGTCCCATGTAGGGCAATGATCTATGGCAACAACCTGCATGTCTTTCCAACTATGGCTAGGCATATTAAAATGCCTTGCCAAAGGGAAGTCTGGTTTGTTCTGCTTGATGGAGCAGCGGTGGTTGTTGATCCTGACATTGAGCCCACGTGCTGTAACTTGCATTTATTGCAGGTAATAATGTACACCACATTGACTGATGTGCATGTCAGCGTTTGTAGTATGTGATACACTTTGCCGTTGATTGTACATTGAAATGTATCTGTGGAGCGCGTGTATGGACACAGTTTGCACATCTTCTTGATACAGGTATTGAAAGAGCCTTTCGCCGCAGCAGGGTTAGGTGTAGGTAGCTTGCTGCTTACCACAAGATCTCTAATGTGTTTAGGTCTACGATATGCCAGTATAGGAGACTCTGGAAAGATCTGCCTAAGTTTCGCTGAAGATTCGATGATGCGCCAGTGCTTTTTCAAGATAGATGGAAGTGGCGGCATGTCTGGGTGGAGCATGACTACATAAGGTACCTTTTGTGTATGGGGTCTGGCTTTGTATACAAGCAGACTTGCCCTGTCCAGTACCCTCACTTTGTCTATTATCCGATCTATCAAAGTGGATTTGTATCCTCTGCCATGAAGATGGGACTTTAACTCTGAACATCTGCTTTCAAAGATGATGTCATCCGAAATACATGTTATAAGTACGGGTCAATCTTACAGGATTGGATAAAGAAATGAATAAACCAGTCCTGCTACTGGTGTCAAATTATGTGGGAATTCCTGAAAAAAATGGAATTTGGCTTATGCCCTGTACTCGGGGACACACAAAAAAAAACGATTTAAAGTAATATGCAACAAATATGGCATTATTTGAGATCTCGATATTTTCCCTACTTCAAAATCTATTTTCGCTTCCTAATGCGTTACTTGGTCATTCCTCGTTTTTGGTTTGATGTTGATAATTCGATCGATTAGGGGTTCTGTGCCCCGGTCAAAACAAGGCTAAGTCGGTAAAATGGTACTTACTGCTCTTTACATGACTTCGTAATACTTCCATTTTTGTTTGATGTTGAGCGTTCAATCGACTGAGGTTAGGGATTCTGTCATACAATCGAGACAATGTATAACCACTTCAATTGGTATTTGCTGGACGTTGCATGACTTGGTAATGACTGAGGTTAGGGGTTCTGTCATATAATCGAGACAATGTATAACCCCTTAAATTGGTATTTGCTGGACGTTGCATGACTTGTTAATGACTGAGGCTAGGGGTTCTGTCCAAATAACGAGACAATGTATAGCCCTTTAAATTGGTATTTGCCAATCTGATTAAAATCATCTGTTGCATGGCTCCGCCTGAACGATGTTTAGGCGTAGTACGAAGTTAACGAAGCAATGTAACATATGATTTTAATCAAATTGGGTATTTGCTGGACGTTGCATGACTTCAAATGGGTAAGAGAGGACTGGTTAGCTCGCGGCCAGTATAATATGACCGATTGGAGTATTATGCTACGGTGTAAAGGTTTTGACATTTCTGTGGGATTGCGCTTTATAATCCGTGGACAACGTCATCATATGACCTTAGCTGTGGACGCTAAACCCCATTGAAACCCAGCGTATTTTACTATACTAGGGTTATATGTATACTGTTATTTGTATATTTTACTATACTAGGGTTATATGTATACTGTTGTTTGTTTATTTTACTATACTAGGGTTATATGTTTACTGTAGTTTGTATATTTTACTATACTAGGGTTATATGTATACTGTTGTTTGTGTATTTTACTATACTAGGGTAATATGTATACTGTTGTTTGTATATTTTACTATACTAGGGTTATATGTATACGGTTGTTTGTATATTTTACTATACTAGGGTTATATGTATACTGTTGTTTGTATATTTTACATGTGTATACCGATGTATTTTTATTGAGCATGTCTACATTTACGCTGATTTATATATATGTGAATGCTGGAGAAGGAATATGAAACTTAAATGTTGTACAGTTAAAATTATATATATATAATTTCCGGGTTGGATGCCACTTAAACTTAATTATCTGTCAATCACGTCGCTTATAAAACTAGTAACAATACCAATACGTGGATGCACCCTCTCGAAAGTATGAAAGTCCACTCCAGTTTTTTTCCTGCTTGAAGTCAGTTTCGCGTTACTGTACTCAATTACAGTTATTATGTACCATAGGCGCCATACCATACGTCCGATTTAACTGTTCGTTTTATTAGACTGGTATGTGTTTCGATAAAACCATTCAGTGACATATATGTAACCATGTAAATGGTTTTTTTCTGATATATTCGGAGGAAATATTTAATTTCCATAATAAACATATATAGGATCTTACACGAGTTTCCATTTCATATGAGATTTATGAAACGAGTCTAAGAATTCCGGCGAGCAAAAAAGAAAGGAGGAGTTTCATTAATTTCATATGAAATGAAGGCGAGTGTAAGATCCTTTTTATCACAACACCAAGATTTGTGTCATTTCTTCGTGTAAAACGACAATTTGCATACAACCTTGAAATGTAAAAAGCCGCCATTTTGACTCCAGTGCGTAAGCCTGTGACGTCATGTACTTGTCCTAGGCATGGCGTCACAATTGAAGCTTACAATCAATCACAGGGCTGAGAGGTCATATTACATGGGTTTTAAAAATATTCACTGGATACCATAGTACATTATGTGATAAATGTATATTAGTGGCTGCAATTTAGGAGGACACCTGTACTTTTTATATGTTAAGTGTATTCCTATATATTTTCTTTACAACATTCCGATTAAAATACACGTGATATAATTTACAATAACGTAGCGGTAGATGTCATCAAATGTATCATTTCATAATAATATTCCTATTGTTTAAGCCAGTTTTTGAAAGGGATTTTCACAAAATGAGCATTTTTTATATGAAAAGCTTACTTACCCTTTTTTAACAAGAGATTATAGATATATGTTTGTTACTATGTAGCATAGTATACTGACACGACATGATACCGCCATTCATGACTATGTGTTTTGTTGTCACTACCAGGTTTCCCGATGTGAGAACGTGACATTACTGGGTTTCGACTTGGATTCAATTTGTGGGTGTCGTTGATGAAGCAGAAGACGCTTACTCTTCCGGAACACCTGGTCTTATTCTCCCGGTCAATGGTATCCATGTAATTCATTCATTTGTTCATATATTGTTCGAGTTTTAACTATTTTGAGTTGGAATTATGGTTTTGTTAACATTTCTGTATTGTCTTGTTGTTTTGCGATGGATTCATTACATCTCCAGCACACACGCAGGCAAACACATATAGGGAGATATTAGCCAGGTTACATAATATTTAGCGCCTTATAAGGCAGCTCCTGCGAATTCCTCAAAAATTGTATTGATTAATGTATATGCTAATTGTATTAATTGTATTTCTATGTACTGTAAAGTGCTTAAGAGTTGCTTTTATTAGCTAGATAGGACGCTATATCAAATGCTGTATATTATTATCGTAAAAACTGACACTTTTGTATATAGCATCATCTCTGGTAATGTATCTGATTGGACGTATCTGATTGATAAGGAGATAACGTTGTCATCCCATGAAAGATCATATCATTCCCATTCGTATGTATTGGAGTATTCTGGAAATGTTAAAATCATATAATCAATTGATTGATATACAGTTTAAACTAAACATTTCGATTTTTTTTTTACATGAACTGATTGCCTGAATAATGGTACTTACAAACGTAAAATATATCAATTTGTCATTGATTACAAAAATCATTTGTTATTATTATCATTCTATTGACCATTGAATAGAGAAAATACATTAAGCAATGTGATTTTTTTCATACAAGCCTCGTTAAAGATAATGTTTCATCAAATTCTGGAAGTTGTAGAAACCTCAACTATTGAACAGAGGAAACTGATACATTGTATACGAGACTATGCTATTGTTGTTCTAAGTGGACAGTAAAGTGCCTGTTCGGAATAAAGTGACGACAGATTAGTTGATATTTCATCATTGTTGATAATAATTAATACGCGATCATCATTTTCAGAACGTTAAACAATCTAGCAGGTCATCTTAACTGTTAATTCAAAACGTTAAACAACCTAGCATGGAGAGTACTCGGTGTTTATATATTTTGGTATCCTTTTTTCTTATTTCGGTAACGCAACAACAAGCACTGTTCACCGAAACACAGCAACAACAGCTTAAGGATGACAAGCTACTACGGAAAATCTCCGAACAACTATGGCCTCTCGTGGACGAATATGCTACACATGAATTTAACAACGCCATGTTCGAGTTAAGACAAACGTTTCTAACAGAGATTGATCAACTTTCGGACGAAATTAATAACCTCGCTGAACAAGCCGCACAGGTGGAAGAGGCTATGAAGAATATGACACGTGGACATGGTGAATGTATATCTAAAGTCTATGAGATAATTAGTGTTAGTAAATAGGTGTTTTTGATAGTCTATGTATATAATTAGTATTGTTAAATATTTGTTGAAATTTATGTGTATAATATTTAGTATTTAGGCGAATGGTTATTTATAATCTTTGTATATCATTAGTATTGAATCAAGTTCTATATCTATATTTCGGAGATGAGCTACCACCTTCTCAGTCTATGATTTTAAACTTAAAGTATATAGGAGTTTTTGATGGTCTATGTATATTATTAGTATTGTTAAATATTTATTGAAATTTATGTGAATAATATTTAGTATTTAGGCGAATGGTTATTTATAATCTTTGTATATCATTAGCATTGAATCAAGTTATATATCTATATTTCGGAGATGAGCTACCACCTTCTCAGTCTCTTATTTTAAACTTAAAATTGTACTGTCATCTACAGGTATGTTCTGTTTTGTGATAAAATAGTAAATAGAATTATTCCTGGCTGTTTCGACTATTTGTTGCACTTGTCGCATTAGTAAGAATCGAAGATGAACAAGTAATAGATGCGTGTACGACTTACCCGTCAGTATAAAACATATCGTTCCGTTTATGTCTATTCGTGTTTTGACCTACATGAGGTAGTGCGTGATTTTGTTTTTAAAAGAGAAATGCATTAAAATTTGAAATTGATCACCTGGCTTTTTATAGGTCAAAATAAGATTTCTATCTATATTTGAAGCGTCTCAGGGAGAGAACATCGCTTGTTCATTCAACTTAATTATGTCACATATCTGTATGTCAATTTCGTCTTCTTTCGTAATTTTTGTTTCTATGTTACATATCCAAATATAAAAAATAGTGTAACTAATGCACTAGCGTATATTGATCCAAAGGTTTAAGGTGTGAAATATGTCAAAAGTGTACTGTGTCTAATTTAAAAAAAAAATCAATTCATACACATGTAAATATCTATAAAGTGCGACCCAGATACTCGCTGTTTACCGAAAAACTTTCGTCCGTTTAAATATTCGCCCTTTGCCGATACAATATTTGTTCGCCGAGTGCTACTTTCGCTCTTCACATGCAATTTGTATACGTTGTATGGTGTGTAATAATATTTGCTGTCAAGACAAATTCACTCTCATTGAGGAGGGCGAAAAAGCGAAAGTAAAACCGGTGAATATTTTCCGGTATACAGTGAATCGTCTGTAGATGATTTGTTGCCATTGTCATTGGAGGCCCAGAGAGTCCCGAATGCCCTCTTTCGAACTTGTGTTTGTATGTTACGCACTAGTTGATCTGAATGTTTAAATATTTTCACACTTCACTTCATGCAATAAATAAATCTTTCATGTGTTCATGGTGTATTGGACAATAATTATTATGATCAATTAATCGTTCAGATCCTAGAGAATAAGATTAGTGAGGGAAGTCTATGCACGTTGAAATTTAAATTTAGACATTGAATATAGGAACTCATTTCTTTTCCCAAGTTGCTTCATGAAACACAGTGGGGCCCCAGGAGAGGAGATTGTTACTATGAAACTTTGACGTCAGGGGAAATAAGTTACCAATGCAAATCTTGTTTAGACTAATTGTATTCGTAGGAAATGCAGTAACTCCGTTATTCAGCTTTGGACCAGAAACTTCGAGGTTACTGGTTCAATACATGTACACGTATTTTTATTTATGACATTAGCTATTGATAGGACGTTAACCCTGTATAACCAACCAACCATGTATATGTAAATTATAGAACGGGGTTTAACCAGTATAGTATATTATTGTGGTTTTTTTTAATAATCATGTACAACCATTTTACACCATCAGAAGACATTGATTAGCCATACAAGATACATTTCCCCTCGTTCTATAACACAAGACTTTGTTTTGCACACTCGTGTGTCATGTTTGTACATTTATAGTTATTTCATTGTGATACCGAAGTAGTAAAATAATGATAATGCTAGCAGAGACCAATGCCACTGTAAGTGATCGTACCCGGGACATCCGGCGTACTAACGTGACGCTATAACAAATAAGCTGGCAGATGTTGTAGTTAGCGGCTTATATACTACCAAGGTTACACATGTAAGGACACGGATAAACAGTTTCTGGTATGGCCTATTTTTGAGCCGATGTTTATGGTTTTGAAATGTGTTCTATTTCGGGAAATACAACAATTAGTGTGCATAACGTAACCAGGCGACTAACCACAGACCTTTTATACAGGTACATTTCTGACTAATTTTCCGGTTGTCGCTTCTCCTGGTCATATGTCACTGTTTTCGATTTACACATTACCACTGTATGCATCTTTATGGGGATTCCAATTAATATTACGCAAAGAACTAATTATATTCAGACAACAATTTACAGAATGTATTGGTTATGAATGGAAGTTAGTTGATGCGTTTATTTCAACCAAATTGGAAATAATTTATGTGAAATGATCATCTTTGTCACTAGTGTTTGACATCAATGATTTATCTACAGGGGTACTGGGATGTCCAAAAGTAACAGGCGGATATTATCACCTAGTCGGCCAGAACTGCTACATGTTCAATGATGTAAAGAAAACGTGGTACGAGGCTAAGGTGGGTCCATACATTTGTTATATATCTAAGGAAGTACAGACTGTTAAACCTTCACCAAAGCTAAGGTAGGTTACTCGATCTGGTCATATTTAAGGAAGTACAGACTGTTAAACCTTCACCAAAGCTAAGGTAGGTTACTCGATCTGGTCATATTTAAGGAAGTACAGACTGTTAAACCTTCACCAAAGCTAAGGTAGGTTACTCGATCTGGTCATATTTAAGGAAGTACAGACTGTTAAACCTTCACCAAAGCTAAGGTAGGTTACTCGATCTGGTCATATTTAAGGAAGTACAGACTGTTAAACCTTCACCAAAGCTAAGGTAGGTTACTCGATCTGGTCATATTTAAGGAAGTACAGACTGTTAAACCTTCACCAAAGCTAAGGTAGGTTACTCGATCTGGTCATATTTAAGGAAGTACAGACTGTTAAACCTTCACCAAAGCTAAGGTAGGTTACTCGATCTGGTCATATTTAAGGAAGTACAGACTGTTAAACCTTCACCAAAGCTAAGGTAGGTTACTCGATCTGGTCATATTTAAGGAAGTACAGACTGTTAAACCTTCACCAAAGCTAAGGTAGGTTACTCGATCTGGTCATATTTAAGGAAGTACAGACTGTTAAACCTTCACCAAAGCTAAGGTAGGTTACTCGATCTGGTCATATTTAAGGAAGTACAGACTGTTAAACCTTCACCAAAGCTAAGGTAGGTTACTCGATCTGGTCATATTTAAGGAAGTACAGACTGTTAAACCTTCACCAAAGCTAAGGTAGGTTACTCGATCTGGTCATATTTAAGGAAGTACAGACTGTTAAACCTTCACCAAAGCTAAGGTAGGTTACTCGATCTGGTCATATTTAAGGAAGTACAGACTGTTAAACCTTCACCAAAGCTAAGGTAGGTTACTCGATCTGGTCATATTTAAGGAAGTACAGACTGTTAAACCTTCACCAAAGCTAAGGTAGGTTACTCGATCTGGTCATATTTAAGGAAGTACAGACTGTTAAACCTTCACCAAAGCTAAGGTAGGTTACTCGATCTGGTCATATTTAAGGAAGTACAGACTGTTAAACCTTCACCAAAGCTAAGGTAGGTTACTCGATCTGGTCATATTTAAGGAAGTACAGACTGTTAAACCTTCACCAAAGCTAAGGTAGGTTACTCGATCTGGTCATATTTAAGGAAGTACAGACTGTTAAACCTTCACCAAAGCTAAGGTAGGTTACTCGATCTGGTCATATTTAAGGAAGTACAGACTGTTAAACCTTCACCAAAGCTAAGGTAGGTTACTCGATCTGGTCATATTTAAGGAAGTACAGACTGTTAAACCTTCACCAAAGCTAAGGTAGGTTACTCGATCTGGTCATATTTAAGGAAGTACAGACTGTTAAACCTTCACCAAAGCTAAGGTAGGTTACTCGATCTGGTCATATTTAAGGAAGTACAGACTGTTAAACCTTCACCAAAGCTAAGGTAGGTTACTCGATCTGGTCATATTTAAGGAAGTACAGACTGTTAAACCTTCACCAAAGCTAAGGTAGGTTACTCGATCTGGTCATATTTAAGGAAGTACAGACTGTTAAACCTTCACCAAAGCTAAGGTAGGTTACTCGATCTGGTCATATTTAAGGAAGTACAGACTGTTAAACCTTCACCAAAGCTAAGGTAGGTTACTCGATCTGGTCATATCTAAGGAAGTACAAACTGTTAAACCTTCACCAAAGCTAAGGTAGGTTACTCGATCTGGTCATATTTAAGGAAGTACTGACTGTTAAACATTGACCTTAGCTAGTTGTAATATAAGGACGAATGGTTAAACAAGAATCCAAGTGAGGTAGGTCCTTGCATTTGTTAATTTGTTATAGAGATGCGGACTGTCAAGCAATTTCCTAAGCTAAGGTAGGTCCCGATATTTCAATTATTTGTTATCAATTACAATTTTAGCTTTTCAGCAATACTTATTGGTATTACTTGTAAGTCATCAAATGCTGAAATGTTGAAATACAGTAAAACAAATCTATAACACAGAAACATATTGTTCAAAATATGTATTAAAAGTAGGCCAAACAAGTATTACTTCGTATCAGCAACGCTAAAATTCTCGAATCTTCTTTTGATTCAACACTTTCCCCCAGTAGTACATAGACAGAATTAACATTTTATTAGGTCACCTGAGCTTTAGCTCAAGTGACCTATTGCTATCCGTTTTCGTCCGTCGTCGTCCGTCGTCCGTCGTCCGTCGTCCGTTAACATTTTACATTTCAAACTTAAAGTCAAGTTCTGCTGGGCCGATTGAACTGAAAGTTGGTAGGAATGATCGCCTCATGGTCCTGACAAAGTGTTGTTATTTTTCGGGTCGATCAGAAATCCAATATGGCCGCCACAGCCACCATTTTGAAAACCTATTTCAAACTTAAAGTCAAGTTCTGCTGGACCGATTGAACTGAAAGTTGGTAGGAATGATCGCCTCATGGTCCTGACAAAGTGTTGTTATTTTTTGGGTCGATCAGAAATCCAATATGGCCACCACGGCCGCCATTTTGAAAACCTATTTCAAACTTAAAGTCAAGTTCTGCTGGACCGATTGAACTTAAAGTTTGTAGGAATGATCGACTCATGGTCCTGACAAAGTGTTGTTATTTTTCAGGTCAATCATAAATCCAATATGGCCGCCACGGCCACCATTTTGAAAACATATTTCAAACTTAAAGTCAAGTTCTGCTAGGCCGATTGAACTGAAACTTTGTAGGAATGATTGACTCATGGTCCTGACAAAGTGTTGTTATTTTTCAGGTCGATCAGAAATCCAATATGGCCACCACAGCTGCCATTTTGGTAAACTATTTCAAACTTAAAGTAAAGATCTACTTGGCCGATTGAACTGAAACTTTGTAGGAATGATCGAATCATGGTCCTGACAAAGTGTTGTTATTTTTCGGGTCAATCAGAAATACAATTTGGCTGCCATGGCCGCTATTTTGCTACTAAGTTCTAATAGGCCGATCTCACTTAAAATTGGTCTAGGAATGATCAGCTCATGGTCCTGACAAAGTTAAGTTAACATTATACTATTTTTTACTCAAATTGGTACATATTTCAACTACAAAAATAAATACTGTAGACTCAGGTGACCGTTTAGGCCCATGGGCCTCTTGTTTTGTATTTATATTAATTCATGAACTTAAAATGTGGAAAAACAATTAAATCATTATCCAATATATATAGTAACACTAATATTACGACACATTCAATTACGATAAGTATTCTCCTTATCTAGCCATTAATTGCATATCTTCTCTGCTTAATTCTTAATTCAAACGAGAAAGTAATTTTCTCAGATATTTCGTGTAGACTTATTAATGAGTATCCTTACCATGTTTAGTCTTCTGATTTCGTCGTTACAAGAAAGTAAGAATGAGCACTAAGTACATCCAACCCTTGGTTAACATTGACACAAACATTGACTATCGCCCGTATGCTCTGCTCCTATGGTCTTTACCTTGATACAAAATCTGTATTTGTTAAAATCTGTGTTTTAATCATTTTAAACGAACGTTAATGTGATATGGAAAACTTTTCTGTGAAATACATTTTTGTCTGGTGTAATAAAATGTCGATCCTTTTACGGACTTGTACAGGTCTACCCGTGTTCACGTATTTGAATACTGGCAGCTGCCATATGGTCAATTGTGCGGTAGCAGGGTAGCTAGAAATAAACTTAGCCGTCGGTTTTCATAACAGCTTTTGTGGAAACAGAAGAGGAATGTTTGCTAAAGCTCTACTCTGTGTTAATTTGTTTTTGCAGGAATGGTGCGTGTTGAATAAGGGACATTTAGCCAGGCCCACAACATTTGATATCAACCAATACTTGAAGAATGAATGTAGGGTTAGAGGTAGGTTCGTATCTATTTATTGTAACAGGGGTCATTGTTGTTTCGTTGGGAGTTAACCCGGGACCTTTGGGTTACTAGTCTGGCGCTTTACCGAGTGAGCTACAGAGAATTCTCCTTAGCCGATTCGAAAGGAAGCGGCTAGTAATTTACCTAAGATATATTTTTATTGTAAACGATGTTAAAAAGTGTAAAAGTTCAAGCCTTATAAAAGGTATGAATAAGACGTTATATGATAATTGATATTGCTACTTTCACGTCATTATTTTGATAGATAATTAGATATATGCAGTTTGTGGAATGAACATTGTTTCATCTTAAGGGAAACAGTACTGGATTGGAGGCCATGACACAGTACAGGAAGGGGTGTGGCTTTGGGATAATGGTGACCCTATCCCTAGCATTGCTATGGACTGGGCACCAGGGGAACCGAATAACTATGGTTCTGGGCAGGATTGTCTGGGCATCGGACAAGACCAAGCAAAACAATGGGACGACAAAAGTTGCAACCACAACTTGGAATTCGCCTGCCAAACAGCAGCAGTATGTCTTCAGCATAACTCCTATATGTCTCTTTTCTGGCTTAATTAAAATGTGTTCTTTGCATAAATATGAGATATTGATTCAATAATCGACCACAAAGAATTCGCCGTAGAATGACTAGCGAGAGTTTACCTGTTTACATAATTACCTAGTTGATGTTACTATTTAGAACATGATGAGATTATCATGCACTTTTTGGTTTGTTCGGTCACAAATTCCATAATGTTAATCAGGGAACAAATTGACTGATGAATTAATAATAATATATACAGGGCAGGACTGTAACGTGATAACAACAAACTTTAATACCCAATGATTATTTAAATATGTCTTCTATTTTTTTCCAGGTATATCAGCTTCGCTAATAGGCCTTTTGAAGGATGTTTGCTATTCGGAACACCTCAAGATTTACAATTGGTGTGTTCTCAATCATTTTATATCATGTTTGGAAAACAGATGGAAAACATTTTATCAAATAATAAAACTATTCTGTTCAATTATATGTATTTATATGCATATTTTTAGTACAATGTATAAATTTCAGTAGTCTTCTGGTTGTTTTTGCAAGAATAAGTGTTAAAAATCAAATAAATGTAATGAAATAGATATGTGTGTATAGAGTAGGGTTGTCAAACCAGTCACATTTTGGTAACCGGTTACTCGAACAATATTCCGACCATGTAACCGGTCAATCGGTCAATTTGGTAATCAAACATTAAACAAAGACAACTCGTTATTTGTTTAGCAAATTTTCTGTTTAAAACGTATTAATACCATATACATACATGTATATATTAACTAGCATGATAGTATACTCGCTTATTTCAAGCTAAATGTAGGAAATAGTTAAATGTAACCTCGGTAAGTATATGTCATGGACAACATATGTCGGAATACAGTAAGGCGGGATTCTATTGCAGTTATCTGTGCTCGAAATCATATGCGGTAATATTGTTCTTTAGTTTCCATGCATGTTTGCTCATTCAAGTGAGTACCCTTCAGATTATCTTTACAATTCGCATTTAAAAGCGAGGTCTACCTCTAACAATTGATATCTCACAACTTAAAATGTATTCTGGCTTCCTTTTAAAATCTGTTTTAGGTTTTTTTTATGGTGCTGGTAACGTCCCATTGTCAATCTTTACAATAGAGTGCAAAAACACTGCCTGAGCACAGCTTCGCGAGCCAAGGGTGTTCAATACGATACTCTCATAATAGGAGAGTATCGTATTGAACACCCTTGGCTCGCGAAGTTGGCCTGAGCACTGTTTTTATTATAAAACAATCCGATTTTGGTTGTATATATAGACAATTTGTAGGTCTAATTCAGGGAAATATGGGGCCTCCCAAAGGGGGTTACAATGTCCGACTATTCGGTTATAGATTTTGATAACCGGTTCGTAGTCTTCCGACTGAGTAGCCGGTTAACCGTTGGCAACCCTAGTATAGATAATTTGTTTATCCGAAATAGATAATTCCTGTCTATTGTAGGTAAATACCCAGTCACGGAAACATGAGCCCAATAACAGTTACTGCTTCATGTTATCGATTAAATACGTTCTTAATGTTATTCATTGATGGAACAGAGAAAATCGTTGTTATTAGAACAAATTCGTCATGACGTTTGTTTTCAAAACGTCACACGAGAGTTGTCGGGAATTCCTGTCGAGCAACAGAACAGAAACAGCTTTCCGTGAGGGTTATATAACAATTATATATTATAGTTATACAATTCAAGAAACAGTGCATACGTATTGCTTCACATCCCTAGTATTTTAACTAGGAGTGCAAACCGAAAGCAGTTCGATACTTATACCTACCTTCTTAAATATTTGAATATCATGGAAAATTAAATTTATTTAATTTCTCAAAATTCATTTTTAATGGATGGTCAGTGGTTTTCAACGTTACAGTTATGACGTCATAATAATGATGACGTCAACAAGTGGGTCATGGCATTCATAGCTGATATTTATAGCTGATATGAATGATTTCTAAACTTGGCAGGGTTATGTACTGACAGTGTTAGCATCTAATATGGAAAACACTTGTTTTTGTACAGGCAACAAACACAAAACATGCTGTTGTGCCATTGTTTACTTAACACAAGTTGAACCATATTTTTAGCTGCACATGCGCATTTTTTACAACGTTGTTTATACTGTAAGTGTTAAAAGATGCCTTTTTTACAGTGACGATACGCTTACAATGACAAATAAGTTTATCAACAGAAACAGACGGCACCATTACTTCATTCCGTGCAAACCCCGTACATGAAATCAATATAGTTGGCGATTGGTTTTGAAATATTTCCAATTACTTTCTTATGATTTTTCATGCATGTGTGTTTTTGAAACTAAACAGTAAACACAGAATATTGGTGCACTGGATATGCATGCTTGGATCAGTAAAATCTTATTAGCTGTGCCTAAGTCTAAAATTTGAAAGCAAGAGAGGAAGATGAAATACAGCATCTAAGCAGGTGGAATAACGCTGTTTTTGTAATATGATCTGGGTTTGGTTTGGTTTGGTTTAATTTTGTTTAACGTCCTATTAATAGCTAAGGTCATTTAAAGACTTGCCTCCATTTGTGCATTGTATGCTTGCTTGCGTGTGTGTATGCAGGATACAGGGTATGTTGGCGTGCTGGCCTCCTTGTGATAGCGCGGATCTGATGCCGACTTTATAGTGCTATCTCAGTGAAATGCCACGTCGAAGGCACTCAGTACAGCATTCCGCCCGGTCACATTATACCGACAACGGGTGAACCAGCTGTTGTCATTCCCCTTAATGCTGAACGTTAAGCAGGGAATATCAACTAAGTTAATACGATTTACCGTTGATGGATAGAGCTAGCCGATATTATACTGACCTATTGTAGAGTTTACTGCGACATTTATGTTATAGATATGTACACGAGCGTGGGAAAATTGACCATGATGAGACGAAAATATGATGTGGTGCTACAAAACCAACAATAATTGAAAATCTATATATAGAACTGAAAAGGAAATATTAGTGAGAGAAGGAGAAAACCTATTTTGTTAATGTTTCATCGTTACACTTAGAACTATTTACTCTAGACTATAGCTCATAGTCTTTCTGAAATGCAAAGCTACAGTACTAGGCAACTAGACAACGATCTGGCAGGTAGCATATGTACAACTGTGTTTATCGTTGAGCCCTTCTTATCCTCAACGATTCGTTTTATCATATGGAGGACCAAGATATGTCATATACATCACACTAGACCTCCTATCGGATGCATTTGCTTCAAAAATCTTCGTTTTAAAGGAAATCTTGTGAACAATTATTTATATTCTTCTGGGAAAGTTATTTACAAAATACTATTCCCACTATTTGTTGCTCTGTATTATAATAAATCATGATGAAGGTACATGACTCCGTACCCCATCAATTAACAGTCGATTTACTAATATTTTGGTGATATATTGCTAAACAATGATTAAAATGTTAAAAGGTTTGAAGCTACTCAATTCTTTTTCTAAAAATGAAGTTGAAAATAATGAATTATTTTCAGTTTGATTAAATTAAGTGAACCTTATCAATTATATTGTCCATCCAACCGCCAAACTCTATTAAAGGCTTTATCCATATTCCTTTCCCTAATGTGTTATTCTATTGTTCAGCCTCAATCGTTTTCTGAATGTAATTATTTCCCAAGTTATTACTGTGAAGGTCTACATATTGTATTAGCCGAGCTTGTTATACACGATGATAATTATGGACTGTGTATAGGTACATTCGCACTGTTTTCAGAACCGTCTCCATGAAATGTCTAATGAAATTGTACATGTTCAATTAACCTGAATAAAATGTAACTTCAACTAAATCAACTTGTCTTTTTTTGTAATTTAAACTTTGTTTATCATTTTGGGCCATATTGTTCACACCTGATTTGCTTAACGAATCATTGTCGCAAAATTTTCGTCTGGTGTTTTAGCTTTGAATTGACACATTTTTGTAAATACATTACATTTAAGTTTTACCTGTCGTTAACATAATAACGTTATGTACGCACAAATGCATGAATCTGGTAACTATAAAGGATTAGATAATCACAGTTATGTTAAATGACAAGCATATTGGACAAAATTATTCTTAAATATGTTGTTTTGAGGGGCGTATTAGCAGCATCAACTGAGATGATAATCAGATATAATTAACCCTAAGTATTAGAAGCCGAGGGCATCAGGCACATCATTCCGCCCGGTCATGTTATACTGTGTAACTATATACTTGTACGATGTTAATGTGATATATGACACTATAATAAACAAAATTGACTTGACATGACTTGTTGTTCTGACAACGGTATCCCGGGATTAGGACAGAACCCATAACTTTCTTCACCTTGACGAACGTTCAACATTAAAGCCAAAAGTTAGGTATTGCTAAGCAAGGCGTTAGGAAATAAAAGTTGGTAGTTAGAAATAGAAAGGAATATATAGATCACAAATATTGCAATAGGTGCAGCACATTTATTTTGGTCGAAAAGCAAATCCCCAATTCTGCAGGGGTTCCAAAGTAGGTCGCCTCTTACGATGTATATAATGGGTAACAGCATTTGTGTTTTTATTCTCGATCCCCAACCTGTAGGGGAATGTCAACCAGGAACGCACTCATTCTCACAATATCGTACTCAGTATATTTCATGTTGGCTTTTCTGGTGCTTTTAACAAATATATTCCAAATTAATTTACAGCCACAAATCTATATTGTCGTTCGCTTTTCTTTGAAAAGGCTCTCAAACAATATGAACGAATGCGTGCCTTTGGTTTGGTATAAGGTATGGTAGTGTAAAGCGTCGAAAAGTCAAAAGTTGTGAAAGAAGAAACATTATTGAGAAGGGGAATGTCAAGATTGACCAATCAATATTTTGAATTCTTCATAATCCACAAACAATGTATTCCTCTTCTGGTGTATACAGTGTCACGATGCGACTTTTGCCCGTACTTAATGGTACTGAAAATGGAAGATAACTCAGTTGAGCAACAAGAAGAGCCAGCGATAAAACGTTGTTTATATAGATTGCTGGTTTTCCGTCTTTTGAAAAATTGGCAAATGTATAAAAATACGAAATTGAGTTAATATGTTATCATTGTGAAAGCAAAAACAACGCCGATGGTCATGATATTCAGTCAGTAAAACAACGCCGATGGTCATGATATTCAGTCAATAAAACAACGCCGATGGTCATGATATTCGGCAGGTAAAACAATGACAATGAGCATGATGACCATTCAGCAACATAACTCCGATGATCGTTATATCTAGCCAGTAACACAACCCCGACAGCCATCATATCAAACTAGTAGCACAGCCACCAATAGTCATCATATCCAGCTAGTAAGACATCGCTGGTGGTCTTGAAATTGTGTCAGTAAAACAACGCCAATGGTCTTGATATTCAGTCACTAAAACAACGCCTATGGTCATGATATTCAGTCAGTAAAACAACGCCTATGGTCATGATGTTTAGTCAGTTAACCACGCCAATGGTCATGATATTTAGTCAGTAAACCACGCCAATGGTCATGATATTTAGTCAGTAAAATTAGCTGATGATCATGATAGTCAGTAACATAGCGCAGATGATCATAATATTAAGTCAGTAAACATTACCTTCAAATATCTGTGTTTTCTTTTGTTAATTAAAATTCAGAAACTGGCGCCTGCTCTTCTAATAAATTCTGCCGTTAAAAAAATGTATTGCACAGTTTGGATGTGTCACAACCGATCGAGTATGTAATGCTATCAGTTTCCTGTCAAAAATATCCGTTGCAGTTAATCGAGATGTGATATAGTATATATTGATTGGAGTTATTTATTTATTTAAATGCGGAAACATTTCAGAATGCAACTTGATCCACCAATGAAGCCATATGGGAAATAATTTTAATCGCGTAGATATGAAAACATTCAAAATTTACTGAAACTGTCAATGACGAAATAATTGATGTTGAAAAATGCATTAAAAAGTACAATTGTGTAGTGTTGATATAACATCAATATACATGTATTAATATACTTTTCTTGTGTTAATCCTGCAAAATCGAAAACAGACACAAATATATGTGGTATTCAATGTCAGCACAGGCAATTATGGTATGCCACGTTGGTGTGTTAAATTTAGCGTTCTATATATCTTATTGTCCCTGTGTGGACTAGTAAGCACACTCGGTTGGACTAATTTTTCATTTGTTTTCGTCATTGCAGTGAATATTTATAATGCACACATTGCGGTATTGATATCTCTACTGAAATGCATTATTTTGGGTTTTTTATGTTAATAAACATGCTGTTGCTTTTTTTACAAACAAAATGAAAATTTGTTTTATTGAATCCGGGATGTAATGCATTAAATTCTAGCAAAATTGAATGCTTTTCCTGTTTGAGAGCATCGGAAGATGTTTTGTTATCTTTAAAAATAAACTGTTTCCTGATCATGGATATATGACTACAGCATGAGACACTATTTCTGTAACGAATCATCAATAATATTTATTTATTTGTATCTTTTTCATAATAAATGAATCACGCTCATCATTTTGTTTGAGTTACTGGCAAGAGAGAAAGGAATATTTATCTATAATGTCATGTCTTAATAAAAGCACGCACAAGTATAGTACATGCTTTATATTATATCCAAACATAATGTCACTATTGTGATGCAATTGTATCTGTTATTTTTATCAATAGCCAATGGTATATTCTAAACTTTACATATACATTTTTGGTCTTTATGGTTTATTGTTATCTACACATTACATAATTTGTCCTAATTCAGATTTGACTTCAGCTGTCTTCTATATTGAGTATTTGTATTACTAAGTATTAAAATATGTGTTTTATTTGTCTAAAGGGACTTTTAGATCTTTGCTATCCTTATTTCTCTTTTTGGTTTGTGTATTAATAAAACGGCAGCAATTTGTGTTTTAATGGAATAAACGTTTTCTATGATCAATGATCATTTTGCATCTTTTTCTAAATTTCTTTTTGTTTTCAGATTATTGAAATAGAATATGTAATTAACCACATGTATATACAGCAAAGTGCATATTTAACTGAATATCTTTTAGTCACTCGAACATATCAAAGCACATGTCAAAACAATCAGAGACAATAAAGTCAATTATGGACTAATTAACAGTACTTTAGCAACCGATATAAAAAAATATCCAACAAGGGTATCCAGGTCATTAGCTATTTATCCTTCAGTGAATTAGTCGAAACGTCTATTGGTTATTTATTTACTAGCTAATGTCTGCCTTGCTTATTGGGTGTACGCTCAACGTATTAGTAGTTGCAAGCGCCCCACTGTATCAAAAAGATAGTTTGAGAAATAGATCCACCCAATGCTGTTCTAATAATATTGAACGTTATATATTATGACAGCTATCACATCAACTGTTTTCTAAAAGCTATAAATATGAAAGAAATGTAATGTGTGAGTTGCAGCAAAAAGCTAATTCCTGAAGTATATGATATATGTGCGTTTTCATATGAATTATAAATGTATATAGCTAGCAGCTCGTTCCGTGTATTTACATGTATATTGAGATACAATGTTTATGTATATATTTGTTAGTGTATGTAGATATCAATTATGTTTCATTATTACTGTCTTAATTACTATATGGTCAATATCATCAATTTAAAAAACCCATTGAACAATAATAACCAATTCTCCATTAGCATCATAGAAATACAATCAGAATGATGCAGATATACCTTTGGCTAGACCCACCACCTTTATTGGAAATCTAATCAATCTGAGGTTTGCGAAGCGGAAACGTTCGGTAGTTCAAATTAGCAAATCGAAAAGATAATCAGTAAAAACCTGTCTTGCGTATTCCAGAAAAATTGAAAATTAAACTCAAGGTATATATATATATAAAACATAAAATAATTACTTTAAGATGTGAAGCAGAAATATTTTTTGTAGATTTTCAAGTATTTCTTTGAAAGAATGTTGGACTTTTCTGGTAACAGCTCGTTAAGCTAACCAGGTGCAGTTCATAATGTAAATAAAAGTAGCATTGTCATACTGAGATATTACCATTACAATAACTGTTATTGTTAAATGTGAATACTAATATCACCCTACACCGTGCTTGTCAATGTTCCATGCTTGACTTATGAAAGACATAAATGTTATGTTATAGATTAAATTCGAATCGATGCACTAAATGTATAGATTTTATGATCAAACCGTGAATGATTGTAGCCGATTGACTCGTGTTTCAATTAATACATGTGATATGCATCGATAATCATATAATTAATTATACATTATGTAACAGGTATTTTAGATTTGAAAGGAAACTGTATGGGTCGGTAGCTAAATCCTGGCAAACATTACGAAGACAACATGGCTAGATACGGATGGTTTGTTCGTTCCTGCAATGTTATCGTGCCTTTACTTCTAGTACTAGCCTATCTTCAAGGAGTGCTCCCGAAAAAATATTTTGGTAAGTGCGAGTATCCATTATTGTTGAAGCGTTAGTTTTTCTCTTGACTCAAAAATGTCTATATAAACATTCTGCCCTTCTATGTTTTAGCATCCTCCCCACTGTTCATTTGAATTCAAAATATAATATTTGGTATCACTTTTATGTTTTTGTCAAACACTGTTCTTAGTTTTTTTGTGTGTTAATTTTCTAGGCAGTTGTCTTAAGAGACTATTTTTAGTGCAAATAACTTTCATATCATCATTTAAGATAGCTCCTAAGGCATTTTCTATATTTTCTATTTCAATGACTGCATCTGTTGTTTGTTTTACTCTAAAACGGGAAATACACCGTTTTATGTTCGACACTTACAGAGAAA